GGGTCTACAACTGCTGTTCTTAGACTGGCGGTGAACGAATATATTGGGCAGAACCTGTTCCAGCCAATTTGTCCCCTTCTCCTTCCCCAACAGGCCCATGTACTGTCACCTGTCCTTTGCAAAGGACACTAAACCACTGATGTTTAAATAAAAACATTCCCCATGATTGTACTAATGATTACTTGTGTTAACTGTAAGCAGCCTTGCAATGATTTGTGTCTGGCTTACTGCAACACCCTTGAGAATGACCTTGAAGCTCCTCATCTTCAAAATTTCAGAGCCTTATACAGAACCTGATACAGAAAACATATTACACCAATGCTAAAGGACTGGTATGGGCTGCTGATATACTTCCAACCTTAATTCTTGGATAAGTACGTATATTGACTCCTGTCAGTATGATCTGTCAGGGAAACTGTCCTCCATATACAGGAACAACATCTTATATAGAATTATACAGATTCATGGGACAGGGTTATTCTGTTGTGGCTTCCCAATTGTGAGGTGTCCTCCCTAATCTGCACTGATTTTGGCCTTGTTTTGGTGCCAAGCTAAAACTACTTCTTTGGCCTGCTGACCTGTTTTGCACCGTTTCATAATTGTTCAAGTTATGTTATTATTAATACCAGGTCCTGAGATCTCTAGGTATATATAGTTATCATTTTAATAGACAAATGATTGTGATAAATAATAAATAAATACAATAGCCAGCCTATTGCATGAGGGAAGGTCTCAAATGGAATTATGCATTTTTCAGTTATTCCCTGGAGAAAGACAGCATGTTAACAGTAGGAAATGTGCTTTCAGGGTATATGTATGCACGTTTTGCTCATTTGGCCTAGTTGCTATAAAAAGCCCTGCTTGTTTACCCAATCTGAAAGGCAACTGTTATCATGAATTTCTTTCAGGCCAAAGCATTCCAAGAGAATGCTTTCATACCAGACATAAAACAACTAGGTGACAGCTTCGCAATGACAACTCAGGAGCTCGGGTGGGATGGGGGTGGCAAGAGCGCATGTGTCTGCTCCAGAGAGGGGAAGCGGAGGGGAGTTGATCCTCTGGCTCCTCTTGCACAGAGAGCCCAGGATCCTTAGTGTATGGGATCTTACACAATGATATAGGCATCTTCTCTGCACTGATGTGCATTTTCAGTTTGAGAGCCTCTTGCAAAATTATGGGTTGGCAAAACATAGCACTGCACAGCCCATGATAAGAAATCCTAGGAGCTGCAATCCAACCAACAACATCTGAAAGGTCCATTCTTAAAGGTTTCTTGACCGGGGAAATGCTTCGATTTTCTGAAGAATTGTCATTTTGGATCTTTACTAAAAGGCCCCCTTGAACAACACAACACATTAAAGTTGTACCATCCTGTATTCCAACCCATTTACCTTCTCAGGGGAAGGGAGGTAGATAAGAGCAATAATTCCCAAATTACGGAAAACAAAAGTATGTCCCTCAAAAAAAAGAGAGCAAGAGCAATCTACACTCTATTATTGTCAGAGCAGGGATGCCCCATGCAATCCTCCTGAGGGTTGTGCTGGGATGCTGTGGCACAGCTTATCCAATATACCCAAAGAGCACAATAGGAATCTCAGATCATCACCATTTTCTAGAAGGCAAAGTCCTGATCCTGGATCCTGACTAGCTGGATAACAGGCCAAGGGGGAAGGAGCTGATATACACGGGAGCCAACATGGAATAATGGTCATGTTAGAGCAATACTGCAGAAACACAGGTTCAACTTTCCACTCGGTCCTGAAGCTTCATGGGTTACTAAGGCTACTCATACTTTTTCAGCCTCACATAAGAAGATGTAGAAGAAGCATTCATGCCACTTGAGCTTCTTGGAGAAAGTATGGGACAACTTTTCCCAAAAAAATTAATATGAAATAATGAGGTCATGGTCTAATTAACCAGGTCCGCTAAAATAGCCAAGTTCCATATTTATCTTTTCAAATACAAAAACAGTATGTATCCATATTTCCAGTCATAAGAAATCAATAGCCCAAATCCTGTTGCTTAGTAAAGTAAATTGCACTAGAGTAGGCCCATTGAATAAATATTAAAGTAAATCACAACTAGAGTAGGCCCATTTGAATCAATGGAACACATGGAGGTGCTGACTCATCAAATTCCCATTATTCAATGGGCATAATCTTGCATAATTTAATATGCTAAACTACAGGATTTTGGACAATGTGTACTAAATATGAGACATATGGAAAATTCTGGAGCCAGCTGATCTTGGCTCCAGTTTCATGGGTGCTGTGAATCCATTATGGGGTTTAGGCTACACTTTACAGGAGCTTCTGTGGTGCTGAACCTATTAAGGGGATGCAGTTCAGAACCTTGGATAAAGTGAAAACTAAAATCCAGAGAGGATGAAACAGGGATAAAACTCCCCCGTTACAGAAGCTCCATTGGCTGCCAATCTGTTTCTGGGCACAATTCAAAGTGCTGGTTTGAACCTATAAAGCCCTAAATGTTTTTAGCTTATAAATACAGTATTGTATAAGCTGTCTTGGGTCCTTTTAAGGAGAAAGGAAGCATAAAAACAATAAACAAACAAATAAAATAACCACTGGAGTCACCACTGGCTGCCACTGACTGGAATGATTGGTAATAATACGTGAGCTTAAAATATGTTGACCTGTGGACTCAGAAGCAGCCTAACCAGACAATGGCTGGAGGGTCATGGCGCAAAAAGCAGCTGTCCTCTCCATTAGCTGTAACAGTTGACAGAAACTCTTTCCTCTGTCTGCAGTGAAGAAGACACCCCCGAATGGGTTAAACCTCTATTGAAGCATGTCTCCTCCTTTGTAGACATGAACGGACTTGTCTGCAAGTAAGTTTTCCTGATGATCCAGTCTGTGAGAATATCAGAGCCAAAAGACTTTTAAGAACAGGCTTGCCTTTTCAAAGAAGTCCCATCTTAAGTATGGAGCTTTGCCACACGCTGCACGCAGTGATAAAAAGAAGGAAAATGAGGGGAAAGTCTGTGGCTCACTATCAGTTCTGCTCCCCAGGGTGCGCTGCTGAAGGCCTTCAGTCCAAATACGTAGTAGTGCCACTACCATCTTAAAAAATATATGGAGTGGGTTGGTTTTTTTTCCATTTTAGCACTCAGCAACAAAAGTATTGTGAGGTTTGGTTGAATAAAAAAATCCCAAATTGCCTATTTATATGAATCTATGGCTCAGGTTGGTGGCTGTCCCAGTGAAATTGTTTTGGCATTCTTTTAATTTATATTTCTCACACACGGTCAGAAACTGATTAAAATTTCCTGAATCAATTTCTCTCACTAAGGAACTCATCAGGGTCCCTGCATGTTTTCTGCTTTAATGAATTCACTTCATTTTATCAATTAACTAGCATTTAGAACCAGAAGGAACCCAAGCAGAGGTTATTATGCTCCATTTTCTCCTGGAAGTTCTTTGTATGCCACAAATACAGATCCTTCCATTGTAACGAGTGATGCTGCCAAATCAAAATTAGTTTACTCATAACTCTAATCTGGCGTATTCGTAACTGTTGAATGCATAAACAGCCTTCATTTAGTGACAATCAATTTTAATCTTTCCTTGATTCATACCAAATTAATTTTTACATTCCGTGCAATCTCCTGTGTTATCTTGCATGGCTTAGGGGGGATCATGTTCTTATTAAAACAGAGAGCTATCCCCAGGAAGCAAATTATGCTTACTTTCCGTAAAGCTCCTGGAAATAATGTTACATGATCATATTGTGCTACTTCTAGGTACAAATCCAGAGCCATTATGAATGCACACAAGCAAGGCCTGTATGTACTTCCTAGCCTCCCAGAGATCGCTTCCCCCTTTAAAAAGTTAAAGCATATAAGAAGTTGGTTAAAAGGACCTCTTTGTTTCAACTTAACAATGCTGGATTTGTAAATTATAAATTATGACGGTATCACCTATCCCTAACTCATGGTTTCTACCAAATTTTGGTACTTGAGCATGGGTATTATTGAGTATTCATTTTAATAAACAGTGAATTTGCTTAAGATGTTAAAATCTGCAATATTTTTAGACATCAAAGTATCAGCTATAGTGCTGCTGAAGACAAAACACTGTAAAAATAGATTTATTTGCCTTCAGATTCCTATATATGGAAAGTGTTTTGTTCTGTTTTGTTTTTTGGCAAGTAAACATGGTCTGCAAACAGAGGACATGAGAAGACATGGGTTTCAGCTCTTTGAGTTTCACTGTTATCAGGGAATTTACTAAAAAGTTCTTACCCTGCTCATAGGCAATAATGAATCAATACTAGGTGAAATGAAAGCATGTACTTCTAACCACAACAGTCCTGGAAGTACTAGGAAAGAAATAAGTCACAGTGTAAAGAACTGAGATCTGGCTAAGTCTACTGTCTAAGTGGGAAAAACAAATTAAAGGGAGAATCACTCCAAGATATATAAGAGATCCTGCTGGTCCACATGTCGTTGGACTCCAATTCCCATAAACCTCACCCAGTCTGAACAATGGGCAGCCCCAAACTGTATCCTAGTCCCTGAGATATCAGGCCAAAATATGAAACAAAGAACAGATCCTTGTTAACAGGATGGAATCTTGTTATGTCACAGGAGCAGGGCAAGAAAATCTCTTTTTTTCCTGAGTAGAGCAAGCAGTAACTAGTGAAAGGCTCACCAGCAAGCGCAGGGAGTTCTCTTCCTCCAGGCCTTCTACCACTGCTGGCAGGACTTTTGCAAAAAGAAAGTTCACAAGCCACAAGGCTGTTGATCCATTCTTGCCTTACTCCAAATGGCTTAATGGATCTAAGTTCATGCACCTACTGGCTCTCCCCTTCAGTCCTTTGCTCTTATCCCTGGCTTTTTCATATACCCAGTGCTGCATCAGCAGAACGCCGGTGCACTGAGTCACTGAGCCAGATGAGAATGGGTGGAGAAAGTTTTGAAGCCAATTCACACATACACAAAAATCAAACTTCAGCAGCACTTGCTCTGGGGTGTATCTTACCATCTGACAATCTGAGAAAGCATGGGAATTCTCTGATGCTCCAACCACTACTCTTGGATTTGGCAATCCCAGTCACTGAAAAAAAAACACTCATTTAGGTGACATAAATGAAATGAAGTGAATACACCCCTGCCAGTCAGGATGGACAAATAGCTGAGTGCGCCTGCAGAAAACTATCCCATTAAAGTCAAGCTTTATCTGTCCCTTAAACTTCATGTGTGGCCAACATGTTCTTCAATCTTCATATAAGATGGCAGAAAGTCATAATCAGCAACAGGTCATATCGTAACTTCTAAGTTATGTCTAAAATCAAATTTATCAAAAGAAGAATGATGGAGATTGTATGCAAACTCTCTCTCTGCCACACAAATGCAAACACAGCAACTGAAATTCAAAGCAAATAGTGAAATGAGGAAGAAAGGGGTAGACATATCCTGAATCTTTTCAACATTTCAGATTCTGATCCACTTGCTTACAGGAATTGCTTTGCAGGCTGAAGTGGTTTGTGTTCTATCCACCTATGCTAGCTAGTTTTGTATGAATTTTTATACTTTGTCCCAGCCCATGCAGCAACATTCTCCATATTCTCTTAGTTTTTCACCAGCACAGTCCTATCTAAGGCCTCAAAAATGTCTTGCAAATTGTTCCAACCATCTCTTTTCCTCACTCAATTCAGACCTACTGAAATGCATATTACAGGAGTCCAGCAGCATAGCTCCAGTCTGATCAAACATTTTCTGTTGCAGGCACCATTATAAATATAAGAAGCAATGACCTAATGTTGATTTGATAGTGTCTCTTCCTCACATGCATTCTGATTCTCTTCTGTCTTATTTTCTTGGATGGTTTTCCCAGGGTAATCAGAGAAATACAATTAAGAGACATTGCCCTGGGCCAAATTTGATTTTGGCTTCATTCATGGGTCTCTTAGAGCAAAATCAAGGTGTGTTAGTACTCCACATTTGCTCTTGGCTTTCCAGCAAAATGTGAAGGAATGGTCAATTATGCCTTTTCTTTAAAAGGTTGAAATCCAATAAGTCTGATACTTTCTATCCTTATTAAATTAATCAGTCATTTGCCTGAACTTGTTAATGGGCCGAAAAATACATTCTTTCTCCCCTGGGCAGCAGCCATTTCCTGCTATTAGCAATCGCATTCAGTATCTGTTATAAAAAGTAAAGAATGTCCTATATATTTGCGAAGGTTTTTACGGCTGGGATCTAATGGTTGTTGTGGGTTTTTCGGGCTCTTTGGCCGTATTCTGAAGGTTGTTCTTCCTAACGTTTTGCCAGTCTCTGTGGCCGGAATCTTCAGAGGACAGCACTCTGTGCTCTGGTATAGTTGGCTTTGGGAGTGCCCAAAGCCAACTACACCAGAGCACAGAGTGCTGTCTGAAGATGCCAGCCACAGCTGGGATAGAGAGTTATCCAGTGACCTATGCAGCTTCCAAAATTAAAAAGCAGTATGTGAAAAGAAAGCAGGGATACTGAAACAAGAGAATCTTATTGAGAAAATAGGGGAAGTAACAAAAATGGGTATTCTGTCAGATGGGCTGAAAGACTGTTCAATTCAAAAGGAAACTGAATGATGGGATGTATTGTATAAATGGCTGCAGTTACTAGAGAGTGTTTGCGTAACATAGAATTAAACTAAAATTAAATGATAAGATGAAAGCAGAAGGGTAATCAAACTGTGAAAAAGCAAAAAGTTGATTTGTTATTGCAATATGAATTGATTGGACGATGGTATCCTCTGTATTCTCCTATCCCCCTAACCCTTTTTCCCTCTTCCCTATTTCCCCTTACTTTTTGTATTCCCTACCCTGTCCTTAAATAAATACTACAAAAAGAAAAGAAAAAAGAAAAAAAGATGCCGGCCACAGAGACTGGCGAAACGTTAGGAAGAACACCCTTCAGAACATGGCCAAAGAGCCCGAAAAATCCACAACAACCATAAAGAATGTCTCTTAGCTTTATTTGTGGCTATCTATATGCACGGCTGTCTACATGTGGAACGTGAATCCAGGAGTGAGATGGCTAATCCAGGAGTGAGATGGCTAACCTATTTCAGCAGAAACCTTTCTGAATGACACAAAACTAAATTTACCAAATACAGTATCTCTAGTAAAACAACATGTTTTGTAGCACAACTCAATCTAAACTGAGTTCAATGGGATTTCTCCTGAATAAGGAAACCTATGACCCAGTTGAGGTTGCTCCATTAGAGCAAACAAGGCCTTGTCCCACCTCAAGTTGCCTCAGACAAGGAGATTAATCCTACCAGATGTGAAGAGTTAGGGTCCCATCTGTTATTGAAGCAGAATGAATATGAGTAAATAAATCATCTGTCCAGCTTTGGAGCCAAACAGGAAAGCAACGGGAGGTTGCCTTCTAATATGGAGGCCAGGTATAGTTTTATGTCCCTCATCTTAGAGGGTGACTGCATGGTCAATTACTGCAGGATTCCCTCTGCTTATTAAAAAAAATCATTTTTAACTGTCTGCACAATATAAAAGGCTGATTTGAATTGGTCCAGCCTATTTACTGCCAAAGCAGCTTTTTCCTGCCTCCAGAGGGCTACAACGTTTTGATGACAGGAGGTTCAATAAGGCTTTCCCCCCTCAAGATGTTGTTGTAAAGACGGGGGTAGGGCACATCTCTAGCACCAGCATTCCCCTCTCTCCACAAAGCCTCTACTCCTTCAAGCCTCTTCTTCTTCTTCTTTTAAACAGCTTCCCACCTGGCTGGGCATGATGTGCAGGGAGGGGGAGACATGCAAAAACAAAGCACTGTGAGTAAGGTTTGCTGTGAAGCTGCTTTGTCCTTTAAGCTCGGGGGATGGGATCTAAAAACAAACAATGTGGAAAAGGTACTTCATAGTCTCAGAATACAGAACATCAAACGTCTGAATAGTAATTTTCAAAATGCATCATGATTCACAACTCAAGAATCATTCAATTGGGATCACCCACTTTCCACCACTCATCAACCTTCCTGTACTTTCAAGTAACACATGCAGGAATTGCTGATCACTGGTGACATAAACAAATTTAAACTAGCTCAAAACTATATGCCACTAGAGATCAGTAACTTCTGTAATTACTAGCTCCCTCCCCTTGTGATGTCTCCTGACTCTCACTGAAACAGCATGCCATCAGTACCCCTTAGCAGTAAGAGGGAACTTGGGGAAGGAGAGAAGCAGGGAAATGGCCCAGAGAAATGAAGAAACTATGTGAACAGAAATGAATCCAAAGGAAGATAGGAAAAGAAGGCTAATATCGAGTGAGGTGGGCTCACATAACAAAAAATAGCTACTCCTTTTGCATTCTGAATCCTACAAATGTCTTGCTGCATATCCAAAGGACCAGTGGCTATAGAGAATTCTGTTAGTAGCAAAATTGTTTTGAAGCACTCATTCCCCTCCTTCTTACAGACCTGAATGCACACCTGACAGCCAGCATATGCACACACATATGAATTGCTGAGGCTCGTCAACTTAACTGGCAGACACTGATAGACTGTTATTTCAATTTTGATTTGTTCAGGCATTTTCTATGATCTGCAGAATCAATTGCCACTTTAACATGTGAGATATCTATTGGCAGGCATGGAGGGAGTAATCAGCAGCTACTGACAGTTTCCATTAGTCCTGGTACTACCAGGCAGGGTAGCCATGATGAAGTATCAGATTTCCAACTTTTTTTTAAAATAAGCTATAGGTAAACAAAGAAACAAAAATGGCCAGTTTGCAGACTGGGACGAGACGTACAAACCCAGCATTCAATACAGCTGTGGAATGGTGAGGGGCAATGCCCTAGCAATGTACCTGTCAACTCCAAGGATGTCTACCATGTAGTAAATGGGTAGCTGTCATCAGAGAGTTAAACCCATGTGTGTATGCATAGGCTCTATCCTCCCTAACCTTCTTTCCCCAAGTGCTTCCCTCCTGCCACTAAGTCAGTTCCTCCTGTCTTTAGCCCCATATCAAGTTTTGCCCCCATCTTGATTTCCCTTTGGAGTGTAACCCCATGACTATATTTACACTGCAGAGCTACAGTAATTTAGTGCCACTTTAACTGCCATGGCTCCACTCTAAGAAACCCTAGGATTTATATGTGGCTGAAATCTGTAAAAGCTGAAATCTTGTCGCGTAATGTCATCATCCAGCAGAAGGGTGATGACGTAATGGGGAGGGGGGATTTTTGGTACTTAAAAACTTCCTATCCTTTTTTTCTTTCCCAGCTCATGTGTCATATGATGAAACAGAAATACAGGATAGATGAAGAAAGTTTTTAATTACCAAATAAATAAATAAATGCCCCCCCCCGGTTGATGCTACCAGTGGGGAGAAATGTTTTAGATAATTAAAGTCTTCCTCCTCTTCCTAAGTGGTTCTCACAGCTTCCACACATAAGGAATAATAAAGGAATGGTGATAAATTAATAGCATTTGGGAGGGTTCTTCCTAAACTTTACATTTAATAGTTTTGTGCGGTCAAGTTGATTCTGACTTCTGGCAAGGTGGATTTTTCTGGGTATAAATTACTCGGTCGTTTACTGATCTTCCCTTCTGGAGGCATCCTCAGACCATGCAACTTATCCAGTGCTGCCCAAGTGGCATGGCATACAGCCCCACACACTACCATCCGTTGCAAGTGAACCCTCCACCACAAGGAACAGTGGTGGTATGAATTCCCAGCCCAACCTCCAAAGCGAGGTGTTCAACACTACAGCACTACATCCCTATTGCAAAAATAAAAATAAAATAAAAAATAGTTTGTGTGCACCCTGGACTACTGCCTGTCAGATACACTAGATGTCACTAGAGGCAAAAACAGAAACACAGAACTAGGCTGCCAGATTTGGAACATCATGAACTAAGAGGAAGCACATGAAAGTCGTACATCGACGCCTTTGGAGCAAAGCCTCTACCTTCAGTTGAGATCTGAAACTTGAAAAATAAAAGATTTGCTGAGCCGCAGCCACACAGCAGTGTCAGCTGCAATCTCAGCCTAATTTCCCAGTTGTGCAATCATATCTTGTAGCCTAGAAACCTCTGCATTGGTTGTTTATATGTATGAGATCTTTCTCGGCTCTATTTACTTTAAAATATATGGTACAGAATGTCCCATGAGTAGCATTCAGTAGCCAAGCTATTTCCCCCATTATTGAATCATGCAGAGAGGCAGACCAACTTTGAAGCTTACTAACAGCAGTGAGTGGAATTAGTACCTCTTAATCCAAAATGCAGGAGATCACACATGGTCTGGTTTAATCTCTTATCTTGACAGTAGCAATATCTGCATACATTATCAGGGCTAATTGCACTGAGAGGTTATCTTGGCTAAAACCTCAGTTTTCCTAATCGCAGGTGCATAGATCTTCAAGCTGTTCTCCTAGGCCAAGGTTCTGTATTATCTCTTAGTTGTAGCAAATATTATTTTTTTCCTAAGTTTCCAGCATTTTCAGGGCTGTGAGAAGAAGTCTAAGTTTGTCTTTGCTATCAAGAACTTGGAAAGCATTGCCATTGCTAATGGATAGATGACTAGCATACCACAGGTTTCTGATTATATTACAAACAGATTTTAGCTTTTCAAGGTTAGAAAAGATGCCTAGCTGATCAGAGAAACTCTTTTCAGCCACACTGATAGGGGCAGCAGTGGGAGGCAGGGAAAACAGTGCCCTCCATAGCACAAATTGCCTCACACAGCTGTAGATTGTGGGAATGTCACGGCTGCTCAGGTTGTGATTGGTTAACTTAAGCCATTGTGTATTGTTCAATATTTGAGTGCTATGGGGCCTTCCTCTCATCTCCCTATGTGTCTTTGTGTCACTTTGCTCATGGACCCTCTTCTGTGAGACTCACATAGTTTGGTATATACAGAATAGAAACTGTACTTTAAAAAAAAAAGCTGTTGCCCTTTCTGCAGTCTGTTTTCTTTTCTCTTCACATTTTAATAAATCCCACTTAAAATGAACTGTAATAAACCTATCTTCCCAGAAATATTGAGTGGGCTGATTAGTACTGCATCCAACATTTTGCATACCTCTTCACTTTCTGCCACTGGTTCTTGCCTAAGATTAAAAAAAACCAGTAGGTGTGGTTGGCTTGTTTCCTTGACTCTCAGAGACTCCCTGTAAGGTCTGGACGCCTCCAACCAAGAAGTATCAGTACCTAGCCAGGACTGATATTTGCCTTAGAAACCACCTTCTTCAAGCTTGAGGAGCTGAGGGCAATGCTGTTTGGCTTGTCCAGGCTCTCTCGTTGCCCCTTTTTTTCCTGTTTTGGGCATCTGATAGGCTATGTCTGCTCAAAAGTCTAAACTAGGCATTAGGGCAATATGAAGTCCACACTGATTAAGGCTATAGTCAAGGGTTGCATAATTTAAATTTACCAATGTGTTTTATATAAATTATTTTACTTTAAAGAGCTATGGAGCCCTTTCTTTTTGACTACTGCAAACCAGCCCTTTCTCACTTTACAGCATCCATTCCCAATCCTATGAACACTTTACATAAAGACCTGAAGCTTACTTGTTAAACAAAAAATAAGATTTCAGGTATTCTGTGACAGTATCAAAATTCATTTCAATTCTTTGGCTTATACTGAATTGTACGGTAGGCATAATGGAATATTATGTTTAGCCTCAGATGGCTTCAGAGGATAATGCTTACTTCTTGAGTTCAATCATTTCCTTACTTTTATAAGGATACCTGGAAGAAAAATCTTTAAATCAATATAAATGAACTTTCGTACCAGACTTGCCAGTATAACAAATACTCGCAGATCTATGCACTGCCTTGGGAATGTCTGTTGATACACCTCATTGTATTCCTTTATGCAAACTTACAATAGTTTGGTTTCTATGTTGGCAGAAGTACTCTTTCTTGCCCATCTGACCTAACAATCCATCTTTTGCCGCAAATACCACTGCAGTACACTCCAACTTCCAGACGAGGCACTGAAGCTTTGAGGATGAATCTCTTTTGCCACCTAGTGGGAGAAAAAGTTTATGAGTTCTGCATAGTGAGGGGAATAGAGCAAAAATGATTTTTTAAAAATAAAGCACAAAAAAGACGCATTTCTGCCCTCTACGAAAGTGAAACCAATCTATCCCAATTTCCAAGGGTATATAATAAAAATTATAGGATTTAATTTTGCTTTAAAATATAAATATTAGAAATTTGACAATACTGTCAGTTATGTCAAATTGCAGAGATGCTCAGTGTTGTATTTAAAAAAAAACAACAATGACAAGAGCGAAAAATTCCATTGTGTGTAAGAGACAATCAGGGCCTAGGCCATGGATCAAGTTATCAAGGTAACAGGAAAAAATGTGGAGATGGAATCACCTTTTGTATGATTCATATATGCTGCAATTTAAATTTATGCTGTTTGGATGAACATAAAAATGTAGCAGCAGGGATTCAGTTCCCTTCCTTGAGTTTATAAAAATGTTTTAAAACCAACAGCGTTGCATTTGCAGGTTTAGCCATGGCTGACACACCGAAATCCAGAGTTTAGGCAACACTGGATGGGAACCAAAAGGCTTACTTTGCAACTTAATTTTTTATGGAAGATTGCAACAGTACAAGAGCTTCACCAAATACAGGAGCTCAGAAGATGAATGGGCTTGTTACTGTTGTCATCATAAGAGTTACTTAACTGTAACTAAGGTTCCAGCCATTGCTAAAGGGCCTAATTTGCCTAAAGCTGTAAACCTTACAAACAAGGATGAGAGGTTACTAGAGAGCAATCCAACTATACTCCATGCTTCTTAGAAGTTCAATATATCATACAATACAAAAATACCATACATGTCCTTTAACTGCAGATAGCAAAAACTGAATCTTGCACCTTTATCATACTATACTATTGAGCTAAATTATTTCCCACGCACCAGTTTGGGCAAATCTGTCCAACTATTGTATTCCCCTGAAAATAAGACAGGGTCTTATATTAATTTTTGCTCCAAAAATGCATTAGGGCTTATTTTCAGGGGATTTTTTTTATGTACAACAATCTACATTTATTCAAATGCAGTCATGTCATCTTCTGGTTGCTACACAATGGTGGAGGGCAGAGTTTCAGGTAACTGGGGCTTACTTTTGGAGTAGGGCTTATATTGCAAGCATCCTGAAAAAATCATACTAGGGCTTATTTTCAGGTTAGGTCTTATTTTCAGGAGAACAGGGTACATAGAGCAAAAAAACAAAAAATGTTTCTTTCAATTTACATAAACTACTACTGAGCATCCTCCTTTCCTCTGTCACAGAAACCAAAGTCTTGTAATGGTGTGTTGAGCTTCCCAGGGGACATTTGACTGCTGCTCCCATCCGTCCCAGGCCAACAGCAAGAAATGGTAGGATCAATCACTGATGAGCCACTGTGGTGTAAAGATTAAGAGTGTTGGACTGGGACTTGTGAGATTCAGCTTCTGGTGCCCACTGAGCCACAAAATTCTGTGTAGCGTTCAGCCCTGCCCTCACCTGTCCATCACAGCTGAGCAGTGGAAAAGGAGCCAATGAGTGAACGGAAGGTGGTGCTAAAGGGGGAGGGGCTTGGATTAAAAGGTGTTGGGCTGGGACTTGTGAGATTCAGCTTCTGGCGCCCACTGAGCCACAAAACTCTGTGGGTAACCTGGGGCCAATCACATGCTCTCAACATGACCTGCCTCACAAGGATCTTGTGAGGGGGGGATGAGGAGAGGAAGCCATGGATTCTACCTTGTACTTGGAGAAGAAAAAGTAGGATACTAATAAATAATAGACACGTTATGAGAATTGCTCAGTATCATCTGGAAGTCCAGAAATCACCCAACTTTTTTTTTTAAAGAAATGTGACATTCTGGACAATTATGCCTATGTTTCTTTTCTTTTCTTTTTTAAATGACTTTTTTATTATTAGCTGTGTCAAAACAAATGTTTGTGCTAGTTGAGTTGTCACCGTTAAATACATTCTGCGCTAAAATTTACTTTCATCTCTCTGTCTACACACCACCCTAATACTAAGTACCAAAGCTCCTGTGAGGTCAGTTATCTATACATCTATGGCATTGGATTATACTGTGGATTATGTATCTACAAAAGCTCAAGCTCAAATAACTCTGTTATGAAAGATGCTACAGGACTCTCTTTTACATATTAAAGACAACAGCAAAACAAACAAACAAACAAAACAAAAGCAAAAACTCACCCCCCCCCCCCCCGTCTTAAAGACGGTTATATTTCCATGTGAGCTTGCATGGATCAAGTCCTCTTCCTCAGACTCTTAGGTATTAATTATTACTATGTTTTCTTATGGAATTTTCTAAACTCCACCTTTTACCGCCAATGTGCTCCAAAGGCAACTAGAAGCCCGCTTAACTAATACTGTATTTAGTTATTTGCTCTAGTGGCCATGGTCCAGCCTCACCAACTATGACCTACACAGCGAGAACCAAAGAAAAGCAACTTCCACGTCCCCAGGGGAGTTAACTGAGGAAACCCGACCTTTTCTGCCACTGGGTCCAGGTAAGGCTGTCCTCTCCTTCTGCAACCCACGGACTAATAGTGGCTTTCCGTTTGGACACTCCTTGGTCGTAAAAGCACCCACGGTAGGCAAGGCCAGGAAAAGGAAAAAAACCGGCCAGCCCCCTTTCGCTGTGGCTTGTGAGAGTTGTTGACTGATATCCCTCAGCAACGGCGTCAAATGGCTCTCCTCCTCCCGCCGGAACGACCGAGCCAACGCCACTCATAAAGAGGCCGGCAACGACGGCAGCATCTCTAGGCGAACTTAGAACACCTTACAATGGAAAGGGCAGGAGAGGGCTTTATTTGTTCATCCTGTTTTATTTAAAACAAACAAACAAACAAACCACTCCTCTCCTACGCTGCGAAGGGTTCTGAAGAAAAGCCCACCTGGGACACAAGAACAGCGTTGAGGCGGCGTGGGAAATGGCAGCTGCTCGCCGACCACCTCGAGCCGCCACTCGCCACTCTCCGATTGGTCTTCTTTCCTGTCTGTTTAGACACAAGTCCTGCCCCCTTTCCTGAGCCCCCCCATCCCACCCCACCCCACCCCACCCATTCATGCGCACACACCTCTCCCACGTGGAACTGTAAGTAAGGAGAACGTCTGGGCTTGTTTATTTTCAAGAGGTATCGCCCCAGACCCACTAAAAGCGCTAGGATTCCAGTGACTTTGTACCACCGCCATCACCGCCACCCTAAAATAAGGGAATAAACCCCAAGTATCAACACAAAAACAAAACATATTAAAAATTACCCCTGCTGATGTCGGCCCAAAGTGAATATTGTACAGTGCATTATCTCAGAGTTATGCCTGCAGCTCGGATAAAACTGGCTTGTTGGCAGCCCTGCAAGATAAGCCATTTTATGTGGTGCCAGATGTGCGCGTGATGGGGCTTACTCACAAAGTAGCCCGTATCGTTGCTGTGTTTAGGTTAGAGGTGTTTCTGAGGCCGTTTCGGATTTCCAGCCAAAAATCTCGAATACCTCATCTTGATTCAGTTTGGGTCTGGGAATCAGGTGGCTCTCCAGATGTTGCTAATGTGCAATTTCCGTCGGTCCTAACGAGCACAGCCATAGAGAGTGTGGGAGATGCAGTCCAGGAATACTTAGAAGACCACATTTCCTTGCTGTATGCCATCAAGTCAAGATCAACTTATGGGAATCTTATGAACTAATCACCTCCCAAACTCAGGTCTTGCAAACTGAAGGCTGCAATAAACTAAAGGTGAGTGATGCCTTTATTCGATCATTAAAATTCCAGCAGGACCCTTCTTCTGGCTCTTCCTTGCACTGCATTGAGGGAACAGGGAAAGAAAGAGAGTGTCCAAACGTTTTCTAGACCAGGGCCAGTGTCTTGCTCATTATTGAGCCGTGTCTGGATCTCCAAGCCTAGAACCTCAAAGGATGGTGCTCTGATAAGGTGCCAGTCGCGTGTCTGGTCATGCACCATCAGCTTCTTATCAGATTGCTGCGGCAGCTTTCACAGGGGGAGCTCCGCGAGTGTATAAATATTGAAGAGGATAGTGGCTCGGGGATTGCACTATCAGGATATCTATTAAGGTAGCATCCCAAGGTGGAGACTCCAAATTTGCAGTATCAGCTAGCTTGAGGTGTCAAGTTTCATTTGAGACCACGTCGGAGACTAAATGCGCGCAAGGTGCAGCCTGGTGGATTTGAAGACTTGCCTGTTTTTAATATTTTAGTCAGCCAATAAAGTAATTTCCTACCTTCCCTTTTAAATTTTGCACAAAGCCCATGCGACTTTTTCATTTTTATTTTTTGCCGACGCAAATGGCTTGTACTTCTAAATTAACTAAACATTTAAACAATCCAAAATGTTAAAAGTTTCACTTTAAAGATGTTATGGCATGACCACCATTCTCGGTTGCCCGAGTATATTTCCTCCGGACCGGTCACGCCGGTGCCCGATCCCAATCACACACAAGGCATGGAGTTCCTGCCTTGACTTCTCAGTTCCGCCTGGAATTGGGGGAGAAAGAAGAATTATATTCGTTAGACTGAGGACTGGAAGCTGGATCTGTGTGTCAGTCGGACGCTCGAACTATCAAGTCTATGCAATATAAATTCGGAAGTTTGCTTCCAGACTAGGGGGATGGTTCCCTCTCCCTTTTTTCTTATCTCTCTGGCGACCGAGCGGCTGCTTTTGCTCCTTGTCGAGCGGACCTCTGCCTGCGTTCGCTTTTTCGCGAGAATGGGGCCTTGATGGCCGCCGTAGTGAAGTAAGGGGGTTGGGGTGGGGCTACGGTAGGCCAGGGCTGCGCGGGCGGGGCCGGGGCGATGGGGAATCTGTTCGGGCGCAAGCGGCGGAGCCGGGTCACCGAGCAAGATAAGGCCGTGCTGGTGAGAGCCGAAGGGGTCCCGGGGAGAGGATAAAGGGAAGCCAGCGGCAGAAGGAGGAGGAGCAGCAGCAGCAGGAGAGCGCCCCGAGGCAGCCCGTGGGTTGGCAGGACGGGAGCGCCCCGGGCGCCCGGACCCAGCCGCCCACCTTGCATCCCGCCCAGGGATCGGGCGCCTCTTTCCTCGTAGAGTATTCCGATTACCCCTTTCTTTCTTTCCCGCCTGCCTGAGATACAAAGCAAGCCCTGGATTCCTTTATACGGGCAGTCCTGTATCTGCAGCATTCTTCTCTCTGTATGTGTGTGTGTTTGTGTACTGTATATATAGGGCCAGTTCTAGTAAATGAGTTGAGCTGAAACAGCTGCAAATCTTTTTCCCTGGGGCTGTTTTCTTGTTTTGTTTTTTAAAGCTTATCTTCTTCTGCTGCATCATCTCTTTGAATTTCTTACCAGTCCTTCTTCACTTCTTCCTTCCTGTTTCAAAAGTCACCAAAAACAAAAGAAAGTATTGTTGGTGTAGCCTTGACACCACTCTGCTAACATACTTCATTGCTCTGGTCTCTAGTAGTGAAGAGTACTGTACACTTAAAGCAGTAACACCCCAATATATGATGATATATAAGCTGGGTATGGTACAAGGAGATGACCCATTGTTTCAGAAAGTCTGGGAGCCATGCCTAGTGATGCTGAGTACTGGACCATGCAGTATGTGCTACTAAGGAAACCTGATTTGGTTTCAAGTTCTGAGCTGACTCCTAACGTGCAAAATCGAATAACAATCTTACAGGTTGCAGTCATAATCACTGGAGAACATTTCTTTTGAATCCAGAACAAGGTACATGCATAAGATTTTGCTTAAGTAGCTATATATTGATAATGGCATACTCTTTCATTTATTTATATACCTCCTTATAAAAAGTCCAGATATTTTACATCCTGTATACATAAAATACTGTACAACATGCAGACATCATTAAGCCATTAAGGTGAGGATGATCCGGCACTAAATACATGTAGTATTTGCCTGTTCCTAGGAAATTTGTACAAATAAATGTGTTTTCAGACTCCAGAATGACAGCAGGTTTCAATTAACAAGCAACTTTCCTGTCTGTTCTTGAAACTTTAAGTACCTAGGGTGGCCATTCCCACATGCATAGGAAGGGAAATCAGTGATGACATCTTTATTACAGAGTACTGTCTCCAGAAATTTTAACTTGGTATTTATCCTGATGACTTCAGTTCCATCCAAAGACCTTCCTGCTATTCTTTTTTTCCTGTCAGAATATTTATGTGGAACAAATGATACATAAGAGGAATAGTAAAGGAATGTTTATCTTGTCCTTTTGGGAGAGTGGTAGCTGTTTGACTTGTTAATGCTCTGGAAAACGTTATCCTAAAGAGTCTTAGCAATCCAAAATTCTTTCTGTGAAAAGCCTTTGAGCTTATGCAATAGTTTTTACTAATTTATTTGCTCGCTATCTTGCTCCATTTGGGTTGTTTGAAACTGTGGGCAATTTTTACTTCCACTTTCAGTTCTTACCTTAGTAAGTCAAAGCTTATGTGAAGCAGAATAAACATAAGGTCTTTGCTCTTGATTATTGTCTTTACTAAAGATTTGAAACCTGCTTGTGTGATTTTGCAGGGTTTCACAAATTTCTTTGTAGGCTGAGGGACAATGTGTGTAGCAGCCTCTGGAGGACTGCAGACTCCCTACCTGTTTCAACTGCTCAATGGAGATTAACAATAGAAACAATTGTTTTGGAGGGTATTTCAAGGCATCTGGGCTGGTGGTTCCCAACATGTGGCTTTCCAGGTGTTTGAGTTTCCAGAAACCTGAGCCAACATGGTTTGGGTGGGGCGGGATTCTTGAAGGTCATGTCTAAAACACCTGAAGGGCAAAAGATTGAGATACATTGATATAGAGATATCAGCAGCTGGGAACAGATGTTGGGAATGGAATTCTCTCTTTCTCACTGTTACAGGGTGTTCCACATAAGACATGTGGAACCAGATAGCAATAAGTTGATGCTTGTCTTTATCCAGTATAACTTTCTGCTTCTTTTGCTGCCACCTGCAGAGTGGATTGAGGAATCAGGACAGCTGGTTTTATAAGTAGGTGTGCCTGAAGGGGACACACTGATATTTCCAGCGGTCTCACTAATAAGGTCCTGCCTGCTCCAATGTCCTTATTTCCTTTTTTCTTTAGCAATTGAAACAGCAGCGAGACAAACTAAAGCAATATCAGAAAAGGATATCATTGCAGCTGGAGAAAGAGAGAACCTTTGCTCGACAGCTACTCAAAGATGGCAAGAAAGAGTAAGTCACTTCTGTGTTATGGGTCTGTTCAGCCAATCAGGATATTTTCAATATAATGTGCCACATGTGCCCTGTATGTGTTCAAGGAGAAAAGCTGGGTAGTAGCATAGTTCAGTCCACTGATAACATAGTGGTTCCATGATTGTCATAGGTTAGGTTAAAAACATGATTTGAAGTTTGTAGAAATTTGAAGACATCACTCAGCTTGGGTTGCACATTTCTTCTGAACAAGTAGATCCCTGGAAAAATTAAAGATCCATTAGCTGAAAATGATCTTATGTATCTGAATGAGTTCTATTATTAAGATGACCACTGTTGTTGTTAATGATGATTCCACCTTCTGTGGCTCAATCTGTAAAAATGATATTCTTCAGTACAGAGACCCAAGTTCAGTCTCTGGCATCTTCAATTAAATGTGGGATAATTGGAACTACTGTAGCAATACAAGTAGCCTTTAGGACACTGTGCATACATATCTAGTAAGGAGGAGGGCTATAGTTCAATACCAGCATGTATACTTTTCTTTCAGAAGGTCTCAGATTCAATCCCTTGTGTCTCCAGGTAGGATTAGGAAATTCTCTTGTCTGAAAAGCTTCTGTTAGTAAGTGTAGTCTATAATAAGCTTGATGAGCGAGTGCTCTAACTCAATGGAAAGACACCTACTTATGTTCCTAACCTCAGTGGGAAAAGGGATGTAAAACTGCATAGCATTGTTCGAAGTGAAATTGCTGGTTTGTATTAATAGTATTGGGTGTTTTTCCAATCAGTTTTTTATCTAGACATATTCCTTTATTGCATCCTGCTAGGGAGCCTTTGATTTTTCACACAGTGGCCAGCCTCATAGAACATTAGAAGATAAATCCCTTTTCCTCAAAATACTCAAAATCAATTGACTAATGAAATGGATTGATCTGAGCTTGCAGTGAGACAGTAGGAAGCTGGAAAATTATACGTTGCTGCATAAAGGTGGAGTGTTTATTAGCTTACATTTTAAAAAGGTAATTCAAATCTGTAGATAATAGATGTGTCAACTGATATTGGCCATAATGGAGACTTCCCTGTTTGGAGACAGTCTATGTATCAGGCACTCTCCATTATCCATTCTTTTAAAGAAAATAGTGTAATAAATGTTTGGTTAGTATAAAATTATACATACATTGTTTAATTATAAGACATAAACCATTTCCTTGGTACAGCTAGTGCTTTTTTCCCTCCCTCTTCTAGCAAAGCCATGTTTCTGCTGAAGAAAAAACGATACCAAGAGCAACTGCTGGACAAAACAGAAAACCAGATTAGCAACCTAGAACGCATGGTATGTGGGGACTGGCAACATCTGCAGGTTGTTATTAGCCTCGTTATTGGCTTCAAAACCTGTGGCATTTTAAAGTTCATTAACTTTGTTTAACTGTGTTTTCTAACACAAGTGACCATATTTCATGGTAGCTGAGCAAGTCAGGATACACCCTGACTAATGTGTGCACTGCTGGGTTTTTTGTTTTGTTTTGTTGTGTGTGAATTGTTAAGCTGTCATTATGAGTCAGTAAATCCTTGGCTAACTGTAGTGTCTATGGGACTTTTCATCTGTGCTTACTTGTCATGAGACAGTGGTGTTTGGGCTTTGTAATCTGTTTCGGAACTCTAATCTGATGTCCATTTGATGTTCACTGTGCTGATGCCTGCTCTGAAACACTTGTGTTCCTCTCCCAACTCTGTAGCAGTATCTGTCACGGCTACATATTAGCGGAGATAATGTCAAGTGTGTGTGTGTGTGTGTGTGTATGTCTCTGTTGAAGAGTGGGATGTGGGGGCAGGAGCAACTGTAAAAAAATCTGTACAAGCTGTAGTGTTGTTTACTCAGTGAACACATGATTCATGTAATGAAGAGCTTAGTAGGCTGTATTTAGTCATGCTTATAATAAACATATTGAAGTCTATGGGCGTTAAGCTTAGGCAGGCTAATATTTTTTCTCTCTTCGCTTAAAGTTCTGTTCATAGTCCCACAGGTGGCGCTGTTACAAAGAGCATCATAAAAAGGCTTTTCCTTCCTGAATTTCCTCTTGTAAAAAACTCTTGCAGATGGAGAGAAGCCTTGCCCTCCATTCTTAAGCTGTTAAAAAAAAATACCCCAAAACCCAGGAGAAGTTTTGCTCATGGAGGAGAAGCTGTTTTAAAAAAGAAGTCTCTCTCCACAGAGAGAGGCTTTGCTCTGTGTGTGTGCTTGGCGCAGCCTCCCTTGTGTGTGTGTATGTGTGTTCAGCTTGTCCCTTCTTTCCACATTAGTTCCAGTGATCATATGCCCGAACTAATGCAAAAGATTCAGGTTTTTTAAAAATAGAAACACATGTTGTGGAGGGAAAAAAACTCCTGTGAGGGGAAATCTGAGCTGATTTGCATTTCCCTTTGTGCTGTGTGATCCACATAAAAAAGTACGTGAATCGCCCTGGCCCAGGCCCGTGGCATTTTCCACATTCCCACCCACTACCACTCTCGTGTTGTCAGGGTTCAGATAGCCTGCTTTCTCCTACATCTGCTATTGCTAATAATGCTGCAAGAATCCTCAGCCAATAACCTGGGCTAGATACTATTCTTGCACTCTATATGGGTTGTACATAATACTTCTCAGTTCTGGGGGATAGCTGGGATGAATATGCTTCAAGACCATACTTCTGCCAAGCAGTAGCCACAGGAAGTGAATCTGGCTTATATAGTACAGATATGAAAGGCTTCTGCAGATGCTGGTTCCATGTACAGTGGTGCCTCGCTAGACGATGATAATCCGTTCCACTAAAATCGCTGTTTAGCGAAATAATTGTCTAGCGAAAAGTATTTCCCCATTGGAATGAATTGAAACCTGTTTAATGCGTTCCAATGGGGAAGAATTGTCGTTGTCTAGCGAAGATCAGCCATAGGAAAGCCGCTTTGCAAACCGCCGATCAGCTGTTTAAATCGCTGTCTTGCGAAGCTTAGGTCCCAAAAACGCCTGTTTGCGAGCGCGGAGGGAGCTGTCAAAATCATCATCTAGCGAAAATCGGTTTGCAAAGCAGGGACCATACATTGTTCAGCGAAATTCCCCCATAGAAATCAGTGTTTTGCGAATCTCTATAATGAATTGAAACCTGTTTAATGCGTTCCAATGGGGAAGAATTGTCGTTGTCTAGCGAAGATCAGCCATAGGAAAGCCGCTTTGCAAACCGCCGATCAGCTGTTTAAATCGCTGTCTTGCGAAGCTTAGGTCCCAAAAACCAAACATTGTTCAGCGAAATTCCCCCATAGAAATCACTGTTTTGCGAATCTCTATAGCGATCACAAAAAGCCAATGTCTAGCGAAAAAACTGTCATGCAGGGTAACTGTCTAGCGGGGAACCACTGTATGTGTAACATTTACTCTGCACAAACTAGTTTTTCTGCTTCTTTCTTGGTTACTCTTAAGATGGTACAGTAGATGGAACTGTAATATACAGTACACCCTATGCTAGCAGCAGCTGACTATTTTTCTTAGGGGGTACAACACTTTGCATGTGGAGGGCAGCATTTTCTGACCCCTATTCTGACTTCTGCTTCCCTCAGGTTCAAGACATTGAATTTGCTCAAATTGAGATGAAAGTGATTGAAGGCCTAAAAATTGGCAATGAGTGTTTAAATAAGATGCACCAGGTGAGTATTAGTCATCAGGCTTGGATTAATTCAGACTGGCTGTTTGTGCATCTCTTCTGATCAACCTTCTTTACATGTGCTGTGGGGGGGGATTCTCTTTCTGTAGGTTATGTCAATAGAAGAAGTGGAAAGGATCATGGATGAAACCCAAGAAGCTGTAGAGTACCAGAGGGTATGTATGACTCTGTGTGACACTCCAACACTCCTCTTCAGCAATGCCAAATGCTCATTTTTATAACTTGAATCCTGCCATTCCATCCAGTTCAGTGCTTAAGGTGCTTCTTGTGTGTGCCTAACTTCCTTGGTGGAGGAAGTTTCTCTGTAGTGTGTTTGATGCAAAATTAGACTAAGTTATTTATTCATACTAAGGATAAAGGATCTAGCTGTTGTTGTTCTGTACCATCAAGTTAGAACCGACTTACAGCAACCCTAGTAGGGCTTTCAAAATAAGTGAGATATTTCAGGTATGATTCCCCCGTTCCACTCCCCCAGTGAAGGTCCATAGCCAAGTGGGATTTAAACCCTGGTCTCCAGAGTCCTAGTCTCTCATTCTACCCACTACACCCCACTGGGTACCAGAGTGGACAGCTAGGCACCTTAAAGTAATCAGAGCTGACCCTTTCCTGTTTTACAAAATTTGGGTAAAGGATGAGAAGGAGTTTGGAGATAATTGCTACTGTAAGTGATGCTCACTGGCCCATCTGCCCTTTTTCCTTTGCAGCAAATAGATGAGATGCTGGCTGGCAGCTTCACTGTAGAGGACGAAGATGCCATCTTAGCTGAATTAGATGCTATCACTCAGGTAAGTCTTAAGTGATCATAGTGGTAACTTCCATTTGGAAGTGATAAATTTTTCATCAGGTAGGAGGCTGGGATAGGATTTTGCTTCCCAGATGTATGCCTGAGGATGTGCCAAAGAGGCTTTAATAATTGCTGCCTTATCTGCTTTTCTCTTTGGAGTGCTGGAAAGAGTCTTTTAGCAAAAAGAAAACAGAGGAGTAGAATACTTTTTTGACGGAATGTTATCTTGAGTTTATACTTTGATTTCTTAGTCTTTGCATGAACTACCGTTCCATAATAGTGTTTGTAATGGTTAGTCAACATGCTGTCAATCATTTGTATGGATCTAGTTCTTGATGCAGGTTACCCCTTGCTGTTCCAGTCATGCAACTTTGACTTCTGCTTTAGAAGGGCCAGCCCTTCGCTTTGAGACTATTGGGCTGCATTCATACACACTGGGATGGTTTATGTAACTGTTTAAGTCATCTGTTGTGTACACCAAGCAAAATCCTCTGGTCCTGATCAATTCCACATGCAGAGGATAGTATGACAGGGATGGCCTCGTCCCTTGGCTTTAGCTTGCATCTGAGGGGGGGGGTCATCAGGTGACTGTGCTGCAATCAGAAGTCCCTGCTCCTCCAAGATGGGATCAGAAGGCAGTGGGAGGGTGACTGCTGCTGAGGCATGTGTGCTGTGTCAACAACCTAACATGAAAACAACCACGTGTTTACACACACTGACACAAGCCAAGTTTAAGACTGGAAAATGGAGTGCAGGATTAACATATGCCTTGACCTTAACAAGGCAGCTGAACTGCAAGTCAGAGGAAAGGAAGGGGGCATCCTGGAGACCATGACTCTGGTTTGGTTGACAAGGCCATAAATGAAGGTCCCCGGTGTCTCTTTTTAGTTCCCACCCCATGTCCGGCAGTGAGAGCTAAGAGTCCACTGGTGCTGACTTGAGCAGAACGGGTGGTCACATTTCCTTGGATCAGGGGCTGCATAGCTGCATATGCAAATACACTTACATACACACAAATGCACATCGCACACCTTGCCTCCTGTGGCACTGCAGAGGAAGAGGCACTGGAGATTCACTGCAGTGGGAATAGTGTGGAGGATGCCACCTACTGCAGCAGATCTTCATCAGTATTGCCACAGCGAAGTGGAAGCTTTAACTTTTACCCCCACTCAAGCAGTTCCCCAGGGAAGAAAGCCACACAAAGAGTTATTCCTTTCCACAGCACCTTACCCTGGAGAATCAGACCCTCCCTGGCCTTCTGAAAAGATCCAGAGGATTGAGAGCAGGGCTTCTGGCAGCAACAGGATTTTTCAGCTACAACATTGGTAGTGGGATGGTTGACATACAGGGACAGCATAAATAGCCATGGAGGTCTGCATTTTGCTGACCCACCACCTGAACAAGAGGAATCAGTTACAGTGGCCTGGCATACTCTAGTTGTCAAAAGAGGCACCTCAATAAGTTTTAGGTTGCCACTGCTGTGTTCCCGGGTCAGCAGCATCTCCCAGTGTGATTTATTGACATCGCCCGGGAAGCCAAAATGCAGCAAGAAGCTGGATAACAACTTGGAAGCAGAGCTCTGAAGCCCAGCAGCATAACATCCTGGGAGGGAGGGAGGGAGGGAGGGAAGACAAATGACAGCACTTTTTGCTGTCCATTTGAAAATCTTGGTTTAAAGTTATTGTAATCCATGACATCTGCATTTTATAGTGTGCCTTCTCTTCTCACAGGAACAGATTGATCTTCCAGAAGTTCCCTCTGAGCCTCTCCCAGAAGATGTTCCAGGTAGTACTTGCTTTTTTTCCTTTGAGCAAAGGTGGGCAAGGAGACAAAGCTTTGTGCACAAAGTCCCTGGGAAATGGCAGATGTAAGAAAATGGTCAGCAGGCCCTGTTCCCTCATCAGCTCCATGCGTCTATCTCTGCAAGAGTCTGTGGTACTTTTGTTTGTAATAGCCTCTCCAGTGCTTAGTGTGTATAGTGACAACCCAATTAATTGCCTAACATTATTGTTAAGTGCTGTCAAGTCACCTCTGACTTGCAGCTCTCTGAATTAGTGACGACCAGATCGTTGGCATTTAGGTGACACTCCAGAATGTTAAAAGGCTTTGCCTGTATACGATGCGTAGAAAACCTGTCAGTGAGCTGAGGAGGCTGAAAAGAGGGGCCGAGTGACTTTATTTATTTA